CTCTCTCTCTCTCTCTCTTTCTCTCTCGCTTTCGCTCTATCCTCTATCTCTCCTTCTCTCTATGATTGAAAACCACAAAACAGACATTCTTTGAAGATTCTGGCACCAGCGTTGAAAAAATAGATCCACAAGCAAGCACAAATTCGTAAGATTCAATCAGTGTTAAAATATACAGAAAAGTATCTGAACACTATACTGTGCACACACTTTCATGAGCAAGCAAACCCACACAAACTCGCGCACAAACTAACCTGGGTGTGTCGGCTGCATCTTTGACTTTTCCAGACAGCGAACCCCCATCTGGGCTGGTTGCAGCTCCCTCTTTCCTTCCGTCCAGCTGATCCCCAAACAACTCTTCCCCCTCCACCTCATCCTCTCCCTCGTCTTCCTGCAGGGACAAGAGAGACATAACGCTCCCATCCTCCTCCTCCCCTCCATCCTCCGGCATGTCTTCTTGAACAGGCACAAGCAGGACGTCACTCAACACAGAGGCCCTCCCTGACTGCCAGGCCTCAGCACAACTGCGTTCGCCTGGCGTCGTGCACACAACGCGTAACTCTGTATTGTATTCCTTAACCAGCTGACGTATACCAGGGTACGCCTCTGGGCTTCCTCGGGCGTGGTTGAATGTCCGTCGAGGGAGACACGACCTGAGAGGTGGCTCTGAGTCCGGGCGTTCCGCCAGCTTCACGGGCGGCTCCTCCCTCTTCACCGCGACACTGCCGGAGACGCTGTGGTGGCGTGGGCGTGTCCAAGAGGGGCGTGGCTCCCTCCAGAACAGCGTCTGGTCCGTCTCGCTCGGCGGGGGTAATTTCTCGTCCCGCCTCACTCCCAGCGCGACGTCGAATCTCCTCCGGCTGTAAGAGTTGAGGTTCCTGCTCTCGTTCAGCGCCGCCGCCATGTTGCGCTTCTGCGTCTGCTGTTCCTGACGACGGCGCTCGAGCATGCGCACTGCGTCAGCCAGGCCGTGCTGCATCGGGTAGTCGTCCAGAGTGCGATGGCGCTGCAAGAGAAGCGGCGGAGAATGAGAGTTGATGGTCACAGAGCTACTCACTGACCGGTGCCCGCAGCTCAAGGGCCGGTACCCACCACTAACCAAGCTTACCCTTGAGCTCCCTCCGTATTCCCGCATGATGGAAAACCTAAATGTTTCCAATTTCAAAGCGAACTTTAAAACCAGATATTATGACAACCCTAACGTCAATTTGTATTTTTTGAACTCTCAGATTGTTTGTGCAAAATTCTAGAACAGAGCTGATAGAGAGGGACTATATCAGCAACTGAAACAAGCAAACTGGAGCCTTTATGGTTATGCAAACAGCGTTAGAGTTCAGATGGTCCATAAAGTGTTCAAAATTATGTCCTTTTTCGGTATCACACTCCGAAATTGTTCCAACAACATTTCGACCATTATCACAGAGCTCAGTAATAATCTGCACGGGCCTTACAGGAACTCTGAGAACAACGTTCAGCAAAATAAAAATCGTATCTGCGTCGGCACTGTCACAACTGCTCACAATCACAGTCCTATGAAATCTGCATCACTGAATTTCAATAAGAAAAAAAACATTAGTGGGATGTCAACTTAATAACAGTTCGTTATTCACTAGACCCTGTCAAGCTACGACTGGCGAAGGACAACCATCTCTAACACCCTCGTCAGCAGCAACTACTATCGTGGTACCTCTAGGCAGTCTGCCTTTCAACATAGATGCCATTCTTTCCCCTAGACACTTGGTAGCAAGACATTTTTAAAATAATTCTTTTTATGTCATTAACCTGCAGACGGTTTTAAGTAGTTTGAAACGCATATTGTAATCATAAGGTGTCATTCTGCCTTTTTTCTCAGTATAGCTTTACGGGCTTGTTGGTAAGACGTACCGCACAAAGATAAATCGTAAGTAGTGGGCGACCCTGGGGGGAAATGGAGTGGAGTCGGGGTTGTTGAGAGAGGCGAAGATATGACTAGAAGAACACTAACCGTTATTTTTTAAAATCATATTGCAAAAGATCTCTGTTGTGCAAGCCTGTGTAGTAGGCTTTACAGTTTTAACAAGAGACAAAAGTACTAAAGTATGGACAAAAATGTTTTTTCTCCGTCTTAAAGGCATCATACGCATAGCAAACGAGTCACATGTCAGTTTAATAAAAGAAAAAAATATATATGGAAGTGACGAAAGCGTTACTTTGGCAGACTTGAATTGCCAGAGAAAAGAAAATCGAACTGCCTAAGATACAGAGGAATTTCAATGGGGGGAGGGGGGGATCTGCAAACAGCGGTGCCAGAAACTGGTTATAAATGTAGAGAACGATAATTCCTGTACTGATGTACAAATTATTCCCCCCCCCCCCCCTTTTTTTTTTTTACCTCATCTGAAAGCCCAACAATGTTCCCATTACAGATTGGCGTCTGTGCTGCAAGGGTTGGCCGCTTTGCCATAGCACGCAGAAGATCGGAGTTCAATTCCCATGGAGGGAACATTTTTATCGAGTACTGGTTTTGCGGCCATTCTGCTGAGACGCTATATTACTCTCAGCCCTGGTTACTACGTCATTCCAGATGTGTTCATGTCTGTATCACGAATTGGTAAGAAAGCTAGAAGGAAAGAAGAAGGGCAGAGCATAAAATCTGTTATTCTGTCAAGATTAAAAAGTCTTTTCCCCCGCCAGGAAACGAAACATAGCCGTTTTGAAGGGTTAGTTTGCCCTGGTGTCATTGGCATAGCAGAAATTAACTGCCTAGCTATAGTATAGGAATACATTGGCGATTTTTTTTAAAAAAGGTATCACTTTTTGATTATGTAAAGAACAAAAATAGTCTTTTGAGGTCAGGATGCGTCACCATTCACATGAGTAATACTAAATACCCTAAAAAGTAGGTCATGTTATAAAAACAACACATTTTTGCTTTGACTAATGTTCATAACGCCCTTGTAAAAAAAAAACCTAGAAAATTTGCATTTTTTACTGATCATATGGCGGGGTTTTTTCCTGTTCTTTAATTTCTTTATTTTATTTATTTAATTTTTTTTTGGTCTAGGTCTGTGTTTCTCAAAAACCGCAACAACACTTGATCATTGTCACCCGAGATAGAAGGTAGGTTTAACTCAACATCAGAGAAATGGAGATATATCAGCATACTCTGTGAGTTTCTGCTGTTGCCACAATATTCGCAGTATGTTCTTCAGTTGACGTTGAATATTCTAGCAACTGCAGAAATCCGCCACATGATCGTGGAAAAAAGCCAATTTTCACTTTTTTTACGTTGATGCTTTGAACTCTAATTGTAGTACCAAAATGTTATTTTTACAGCATGGCCTACTTTAAAGAGAACCTATTATTATTCACATGAAAGAAGACTCAAAAGGCTAGGTTTATTAACAATCAAATTTTTATTGTGGTACATGTACCTTTTTATCACCAGCACAATTTACTTAGGCATGCTAACTCGCATTAAACTGCGAATTTCACCTCAACGATGTAAAACCATGCGCAATAGACTTTGAATTTCCGAACTGCTGAATGAAATTAACCTGCACAAAATTGTGTCCTTGAGAATAAGAGTGAGTCGGCCTGAATTTTGGTCAAAGTTAACGTATTACTGCCACGAAATAAAACTTGTCAGATCTTTAGGTCAAATAAATTCAATTAACCCCTAATCAGTGATTATGTAGAACCTTCTTGAAGTTGTACCACAAATGTCGTTCATAGTTCATGCTTTTCTGAAAAATATATTGATCTAATATATTCCCCTGACAGAAAAAGTGTAGTTAGACCACTCTACCCCCCATGAGCGCAATAATAAAGATACATTTAAGTTATTTTCTCGCCAGAGACCATGTCGTGTAAAAAGAACTCCATATAAAAACCTTTAATTTGACCAAGCAATTATCATTATCTCTTTTTCCGAATAACACACACACACTCACACACCACACACACACACACACACACACACATACACAC